GTAGTCCTTGAACTTGAATTAATGGAAATGACTCCATTTAACATTTTTATATAGTTTAGGGATTGAATTGAACATATACCAAAAGTTGGGGGATGACATTGAACAAATGAAAAGTTCAGGGATCACATTACACATTAGGTTAAAGTTCAGGAATTACATTAAACAAATTAAAAATTCATGAACCAAATTGCACATTTTGCCAAAGTTCAGGGACCGTTTGTGTCATTTTGCCTAATCTTTAATGTCCAACAAAAGCGTATTTTTGCTCAGGGACAAAAATAGTAAACTTTTGTTTCTGTTCAAACTATCCTATGTAGAACAGACCAAAAAAAGAAAAACTATCCTACGTAGCTACTAACATGGCTAACTTTGTTAATATTGTAATAGTCGGGCCATTTTTGTCCAGGCCCATATATAAGTAGTTTATTTTTGGGGGTTTATGCAAAGGGGTTGGAGATTTGGCCCACAAACAATAGCGTGCCAAGAATAATGCTAAATATAAAGATTGATAAACTTATGTTACAAATTTCATTGGCTCAAATGTAAGTGGTTAAGGATTATTTAGTCATCAAGTGATCTTTATATAGATATGAAAAAATGGGTAACGGCCTCATTGGCTATTACCAAAAAAAAATACAACCATTAAATGTAGCATTTTGATGGGTTTGAATAGACCAAATTTCAATGTATTCGATTAAGGGACTAGGATTCTTTAAATCTTAATTTCCTAAATTCGATGTATTCAATAGTCGATGAGCCCAAACTAGAGACAGTGGGCTTATTCCCTTGATTAGGCTAGACTATTTTAAGCCTTCCTTTCTTCAAAACGCAAATAATGGGCTTCAGTGATCTCTTTCAGGCATCGGAAAATCCGAGCCCAATCCGAGCTTTGGTTTCTATATCACACATATTGGTGAGTAGATACTCTACTCTCGAAAAAATTGTCCAAAAAGTCCTAAGCCTATTACAGTTTTACCAATTCAGTCCTAAACATTTTCATATTTTATCAACTAAGTCCATCTGGCCAATTTTGATTGAAAATCGCTGATATGAACATCAACCGTCGAACGGCGCAGACGTAGACAATTTTTAATAATATTTTAATATTTTTTTCGAATGTTTAATAATTTTTCTTTTATTTTTCGTTCTTTTTTCCTTTTCTTTTCCTTGTTTTTTTTTACAACTATTTTTAAACATTGTAAAATCCAGGTTGCCCTCACCCGGCCCTGCCCAAATCTAGGCGAGGCCATAGCAGCCGTGATGGCCTAGGCCCATGCGCAAATCTGGCGAGGGCCAGTCCGACCAGCCACAACGTCGTCCATCATTGAGTTGAATCTTCCTAGCATCAACACAACAACAACAGAACAGGAAGAAGAAGAAGAAGAGCTTTTCATTTAGCCACTATGTGCTCAAACCTTTGACGCTTGCCTTGGGTTGCAGAAGAAAAGCTGAAGGACGTCATGGCTGGTCGGACAAGCCCTCGCAAAGTCTAGAGGAGGGCCACGAAGGCCTCACCTAGACCATCGCGGTCGCAGGCAAGGTCACCTTGCCCAGATCTAGGCAAGGCCGCCTCGCTCGCGGCCACTATGGCCTCGCCCAAATTCGAGCGAGGGCGTCCTGGCCTTCATCCACTACCGGCATGAGCCCGGCAGCCCTCTCCGGCCATATTTGTAAAAAAACACAAAGAAAAAGGAAAAATAAGGAAAAATAAAAGAAAATTTATTAAAAATTCAAAAATAATAATAAAATATTATTAAAAATTGTCCATGTCAAAGCCGGCTGTGCCTCATAGAACGGTCGGCGTCCACGTCAACAATTTTTAGTCAAAATTGGCCGGACGGACTCAATCAACATAGTGTTGAAATGTTTAAGACTTAAATGATAAAATTAAAATGTTTATGACTGAATTGGTAAAAGTGCAATAGGTGTAGGATTTCTTAGACAATTTTCCCCGCTAATCTCTCTTGAGCATCATCTTCAAAACTCAAATGACCCCTGAAGATTGAGACTAAAATCCATTCATCACCGAGCAAATGATAGTTTTGCTTTTCGCCTAATTCATGCACCAAGACACGATCTTAAGGAAACCAACTTCAATGATTTCATTAATATTGATTTTGTTAACTACATGCTTGCCACTGCATTTTGATATAGTCCTCATTTTATTTGGTTGTACAAGTTATTGTCCTTTGACAGGATGAATCCCCTAATATTCATAATAAGGAAGTAGCGCATTCACTTCACCATCTTTTTCCATCATCATATTAGTAATAATTATTGTAGCATACCTTGGATCGCGTTCCAAACAACGTCATGCATACTTTACCGACGGATGAAATTTAGTAAGGAAGAGTGGACCTGCTTTGTGATTTCGACCTGTAAACCCTACTTCTGCAAATGGAATACCGATATGCTCATATCGTATCTCAAGTATGTCATCTTCATCGTTCCCGATGAAGATAATTAGGGATTCAAAACAGAGAATTTTTCTCAGGTTAAATTCGCAACAATTTGAGCTTTACTCATCCTAACTTCCCATTGGTCAAGGAATTTTTCTTCTTCTGCCTTAACAAAATTTCAACTCCATTGCTAGCGTTCTTGTGGATGGGGCAACATCATTTATCAACCTTTAAAGTCCTCCGGGTAAACCTATGTTTAGTAGGCGACCAAAAAAACAAACCTATGTTTTAGTTCAACTTTGCTCGTGGCAGCTCTCGAATTAGCGTTCGGAGGTGGGCTCGTGTTCTTAAATGTTAGAATTCAAACACGTGAGTATAAAGGGGAGTAAATGTGCAAGAATTTGGCCAACCTTTAGATACAAAAGTACGGTCATGTGTATATTTTGAGAAATTATGCAAAATTGCCGACCCACCGTTACAATTTTTGAACATCAAATCATGCCTAATCACTTAAGATTGAAAAAAGTTTACAGTGCTTCCAACAAAATCTTATAAAATATAAAAATGAAAGGTATTAAGTTTTAGCGGAAAATTATCCAATCTGTCCTCTATCTATTGTACGGATGTCAATTTAGTCCTAAATTTATTTTAATATTATCAATTTAGTCATAAACCTTTGCATGAAATTCCAATATAATTTTTCTGCTCAATTTTCATAAAAAATCACTAATGTGGCAGACCAGTTATAGCAGATCGTCCTACGCAGCACACCGCCACGTTAGCAATTTCAGATGAAAATTGGCTGAACGGACTACATTGGAATTTCGCGCAAAAGTTTAAGATTAAATTGGCAAAATTGAAAAGTTTAGGATTGAATTGGCATCCATATAATAGGTTTAGGAATAATTGGATAATTTCCCTTGAGTTTTAATCTTACTATGTTAAATCCAAATTTATGTGTGAGGGGAGTATTAGAATATTTTAATGCTAAACCATGTTTTCGTCTAATTGATTAAACTTGTGAAACAACAGGCAATACTCCAATTAAATTTTACATAAAATAGGAGCATGAGGTCCACTCCCCCAATCAGTTGAGCCAATGTCCTACTGCCACAAGGCCGACCTCTCCCTGCCTCTTTGTTGGGAAAGCATCCCTGTGGAACTTTGATTATTCCAAAACTATCATTGGTACAATATCTGTTATGATAAATGCATATGATAATATCATTGTCAATTGTGTTGATATCAATGATTCCTACGAGATCAGTGAAGGCAAGGACAAAAATTGCAACAATAGGAGAACAAATACCAATATCACATGTAGCTACTAATAGAGGATTGCAGTTACTTCACATGAATCTTTTTGGACCAACCGAAAAAACCAGCCTTGGCGGTAAAAGATGTTGTCTAATGACTGTGGAAAATTATTCAAGGTTCACATGGCCGATGTTCTTAGCCCACAAAAATGATGCATTTCATTCTTTGGTGAAATTTGCACGAAAAGTCTAGAATGAGAAAAGGTACAACTTTTCATCTATTCGAACAGATCATGAAGGAGAATTCTAGAACTAAAGCTTCTTGGATTTCTATGAAGAAAATGGCTTGGAGCACAATTTCTCCATAGCATATACTCCATAGTAAAATGGTGCTATGGAAAGGAACAATCGATGTCTTCAAGAACAATGATGATTGAAAGAGGCACTCGTGCTTGTTTCTAGGCAGAAGCAATTGCTAATGCCTGCTATATCATATATCGACTATATTTTAGGCTATTGTTCAAGAAAACCCCCTATGAGTTGTTCAAGATAGAAAGCCAAGCATATCATACTTTCACGTCTTTTGTTGCATATGCTATATTCTCAAGAATACAATTGACAATGTTGGTAAGTGTGAATCAAGATCAATCGAATGTATATTTCTTGGTTACTCAACTTCAAGTAAAGCATATAATGTTTTTAACAAAGTCTCGTAGGAAGTGGAAAAATCGATAAATATGAAGTTTGAAGATAATTTAATGAGTGTATGAGCCAATAATGAAGAGGAAACTGTACAACCGTCAACACCAGCTGCCGATATCAGCAACCTAGACCACAAAGACCCGGCCCCGTTTCACTTTTTTCTTTTTTTTAAATAATAATAAACAAAATAATAAATTCTATAACTATTTGTTAGTCTAGCCCACTGTCTATTTTTTTAAAAATAAAAATTTCACCAAGAAAATGAGCTTCAGTTTTTTTACAACTATCAAAGTATTTATCATTTTTCCTTACTATTAGCAAAATACTTTTACACGTTGTATGTAGAACGCTATAGGAATATATATGCGTTATACGACTAGATCTACCCCATTTAAACTAAAAGAAATGACTGCCGCCCCACGTGTTCATTCAAATGTTGTGAAAGTATGAGGTGTTTTGTGTTAAAAAATTCAAAATGTGTCTACCATAAATTTTAAATTGAGTAAAAAAGAAAAAATAAAAATCTATCCAGACATGCCCTAAATATTAACAATTTCTTTACCTAACAATTTAAACTTTTAAATCAGTTAGACAGTAATCTTATAGAATCTAACACTCACCTCCTAGACCCACACCTTATAACCGAGAAAATATTAGGTGCATTTAATATACCACGTAGGATTTATAATAATCCATACAGTAATCGACACGTGTCCGTAGCGGGCCCACCTGTCAGACAATTGTCTCTCTCTCCCCTCTCCCTCACGCGCTCTGCTCTCCATCTCCTCTGCAACCCCACGCCCAACCCCCCCCCTCTCTCTCTCTCTCTCTCTCTCTCTCTCTCTCTCTCTCTCTCTCTCTAAGAGCCCACACGAAGTGGAGGTGTGCGAGGATCAGGACTCACTGTTGGGGCCACCCAGCTGGGCGACCGCGTCCACGAAGCGCTCGTGGAGCTCGACGGTCCAGCGGAGGCGGGGCTTGGGGTCGGCGGTGAGGACGAGGCAGGCGTCGCCGGGGAGGCTGGCGTCGCCGTCGAGGGAGCCGTGAAAGTCGCCACCGCCGGGGCCGACGACGCCGACGCTGCCGTCGAGCAACGGCAGCGAGTGAAGCGCCGAGTACATTTGATGGCGGCGACGGAGATGGCGCGTCTTGCGCAGCCTCGGACGGACGGCGAGCGCGACCGCGTCCACGAAGCGCTCGTGGAGCTCGAGGACTAGCTCGTGAATCTCCTCTGCAACCCCACGCCCAACCCCCCCTCTCTGTAAAACCTCCGCGCATGCCTGACTAACGACTAGCTCTGCTCTCTAGTCCAACGAGCCACGCCACCGCCTCCACCTCTGATCCATCTCCGGCGACAACTTCCGAGGTATTCAACCTTCGGGGACTCCGGAATCATGGGACTTGTCGTACACGACATAGAACCCGTCGTCCTCGCCGACGACACAAGAGTACCAATTGTCGACGCCGAAAGCCGGGGTCGAGCTCGTCTTCGGCTTGAAGACCAACCGTAACAGCTTCTGGATAGACCGTGAGATTCGGGAGTGCTTCTTCGCCGTCGTCGAGGTCGCCGGTTGCGGCTGCGGCTGTGGCTGCAGAGGAGGAGGGGGGAAGGCGCGGCGGTCAGGGTAGTGAGCATGGATAGGGTGCGGGCGGAGATGGCGGAGCCGAACTTGAAGGACTTGAGCTTCAAGAACTGTGTCGAGCGAAGAAAGTTAGCGAGATAGAGTGTAACGTCCTGAATTTGACCCACTTTCGTGATCAATAAAATAGATATGTATTTCTCATTTCGTTTTAGTAAGTCTCGCCCGGAACTGATCATTCTCGGGATACTAACCAATAGGGAATGGCTAACTAGGAAAACGATACGTGGACCCAAGAACTCGATCGTGAATTTAGTCCGATTCCAAGAAACGACGAGGGAATATTTTGTGCCAATGTGGGCCGGTCCAAGGAGAGTGACGGATTTGGTTTGACCAACGACGTACGATCGGATAGCGGGTGATTCCGCACGACCGAGAGTACGCGCGGCGAACGATCCCGAAATTATTCCGAACGACCGCGACCCCCGGAACTAGCGATAAATCCTCGTGTTCTCTGGGAAATCGAGATCGTCACAACTCAAGTAACCCTAGATCGATACGCGTAACCCCTAAACGGCCGCCCGTTAGTAAGAGACGCTAAAATCGCATTTGAGCGAAATCGATCGTGGAATTGAGTCCGGACATCGGTGTCGAATTTCGTTGGCGTACGCGACTATTTTGCAAGGACGACGTCATATTTATGTGGCCAATTATATTTGGGATCAGTTTAGTCGAAAATTGGAAATTTGACCCGGGACCGGAAAATTACCGTTTTGCCCCTATGCCCCTAGCCTTGTATTCCGAATTTTGGAATTATTTGGAGATTATTTTAGAGTTTTAAATTGGTTTATCTCAGCCCAATAATGCTGGAAATTTGGACAAGATTGCCCCTCCATTATTGGACATCAATGAATCTCAAGCCTTGGATGGGGGACATGATGGTCTTTTGTGCAAAGTAGATCAACCACCCCACTAGCTTGTGTATAACTCTCCCATTCCCTCTCTCTCTCCCTCATTTCTTCCTCACCAGCCGCCCATCTCTCCTCCCACGCCTCACTCTCTTTCCCCGCCTCCTTTCCATTTGCTCGGCCGTGAGAGGCCCTCGCCGGAAGAGCTCCGCCGCTGCCGGAGCCGGTCTGCCACCACCCACGATCACCCTCACACCATCACCGACCACCTGAGCTGCCATTCGCTGTCCGCCCTCGCTGTTGCTTCGCCGAAGTAGCCGTTGCCGTGCCAAGGCTCTTGTTTGCTTCCTTGCTAGGTTGTCTTGCTTAGGCTCTCTTGTAAGTGACTTCCTAATCCTTGGTTAGGCTAGTGGGTTACTAATGGCATGTCTAGGGATGGATTAGGGGCTGTGGATGGTTGGTTTTGTGATTGTATAAGCTTGATTTGAATAATGGTGCAAGTTTTATGATTCTCGGATTTCTGGTTGTTACTGTACCTCTGTGCTTTATTTTTATTTTTTTGGTGATCATTGTGGGCCGAATCTGAGGAAGTGTTCTTCATGAAATTTGTTCCCAACATCTTTAAGTATAACATACTTTAAATTCAGAATTTTTGGAATTTTTTTGGGGTCATTCGGAAGTCGGTTTTCAGACCGTCGCAAAACTGCCCGATTTACTGTTCACCCGATCTTCTTGTCTTTCCGAATTTTTATAAAATTTTCCAGACTTTATTTCAACAAAATTCCTTAATAAAAATTGTTGAAAACACTTGTTTCTATGACATATAAAAATTTCAGAGCTTTCCAAAGTGATTTGGGTACTGAATGAGTTGTATTTTTGATGGTCTGATGGGCTGTCCGAGCGAACCGGGTTTTGTCCGGATTTGAGTGTCAAAACGAGGTGTTTACGGTTAGAACTGGGTTTTGAGTTCTTCACGGAAAATGTTTATCAAGATGTTTTATGTAACATATCCAAATTTCATAATTTTTAGAGTTTATTTACTATTTATTTCAAATGGATTTCTATCACTGCGCAACTTCCCAGTTTGGACCCGATTTTGTATATTCTCGGTTTTTCTCTCTCTCGAGAATTATTCGGTGTTATCGTGGCGTTTTGACGGATTTAGTTGACAGTGGGCTAATTATGGTGAGTTAAAGGACCGGATTGCCGTGGCGTGTGTGGGTGAAATTGACGATTGATTGTGGCCGACTTGAATGTCGGATTGGTGAGCTCGTGGTTTGGAATTGAGATGGTTTTGGGTGCATATTAGTGGCTAATGTTGGTGGGTCAATGATTGAGCATGTTGTGGCATTAATTGAGTGTGGAAATTGTGGATGCCGAGCGTGACCTTTATGGCCATGAATGTGTATATCGAGCATTGGCATAACATGTGCATTATGTGAGTGTGCATGAATGGGATGAGCACGTGATCACCTAAATCGCCCTGATGCGTCTTACGCCGGGTTCAGATAATAATTGGTGGTATGAGTACGTGTGATCACATAAAACCCTGATGCGTCTTACGCGGGGTGTTGAACCCCTCTTGATGCGTTTTACGCGGGACGATGCCCGGATTGCCGGAAGACGGCCAGCCTAATGCGTTTTACGCGGGTTTTGGTCCGTGTAAGGAGATCGGTGTTGCGCCTGATGCGTTTTACGCGGGCTAGAGACACTGGGCCTGATGCGTTTTACGCGGGCCAGGAAGTGTTGTATGTAATAGACCTGATGCGTTTTACTCGGGTCGGACCTGATGCATTTAACACGGGTCGGTGAATAAATGGAAAGTTGGCACTTGTGCATGTGTGCAGAAAGGAACATGAGCATATGCATAGTGATGGCACGTGTGCAAGAGTGCATTAACGAGTGCAAGCATGTGCATGGCATGTGTTCGTGGCCAATTGATATGTGTGTATGTACCATTGTTGGGCTCAGTGCCAGTATTATTATGTGCCTAACCTGCAGGGTCAACATATGTTTGATTTGGGCCCGAGGGCCTAAGTCGTGTGGTTGCTCTATTATGTGTTTGGGTAAGACTTGTCTGGGTACGCATTGGCCTAGGTAGGGTTTAGGGTGTTGCTTATTGAGACTCGTTCTCATGGTTATTATATAACCATTTCAGACCCCCGACTCCGACCATGAATGGTCCGTCACAGCTAGGCTAACCTACCCGACCACTTGCCCCTTTTTGAGGATTATGGTGGATCTAACCCTAGGAGCCTAATGCCTGAATTGTACGATTGAATGTTGTAAGTGGCGGTCTTCTATTTTTAGGATATTATTGGTTTGCGTTATTGTTACCCCTCTGTCATATTTTATTGTATGAGTTGTTTTAAGTTCGCTTCCACTTGCTTACTCGTGTGAGTGTTTCTTTTGGGTCGGCGACGCGTCCTGGGACGTCGCGTTCAATACGACCAACTAAGGGGTGTCGCGAGTCCGTTGGGGTTCGGGGCGTGACAGAGAGAGAGGGGGGGTTGGGCATGGGGTTGCAGAGTAGTTGGAGAGCAGAGTGCGTGAGGGAGATGGGAGAGAGGGACAATTGTCTGACAGGTGGGCCCGCTACGGACACATGTCGATCACTGTATGGATTATTATAAATCCTACGTGGTATATTAAATGCACCTAATATTTTCTCCCTTCTAACCACGTAAACTGTTTTAGAAAAGGACAGAGGGTTGCATGGTCGCAACCATTGTTTGAACCGCTACCCGTACTTTCCGAAACCTCTCTCCTATTGATGAGCATTTCCTTTAAATTTTTATTTCTACCAGAGAACTATATCGTGTCAAAACTTATCTGGTATTCCAATTTGTATCTTCTCTTTCCAAATTTGAATTACACAAGCCCGGTTTATTCACAAGTCTCAACCATTGAGTTGGACAGAGTTTATGTACAGATAGCCAAACATAACCTTAATGCGCCGGCACCATGCAACATATACACCCACCCTAGCAACCCCATCCCAAGTGGGAATTAAGGACCCATCTAATCTAAAATGGGAATTTAATTAATCGTTACCCACCCTCCATGCATGCACCTATATATAACAGTAATCCCCGTTCGTCCCTGTTCATCTTTGTACTTGGAATTTCAGTGATGGAGGAGTCCCGTGAGTGCAAAGTTCCAGCAGCAATTCTGGCCATTGGCACAGCCAACCCTTCGAACTGCATCAATCAGGAAGACTATCCTGAATTTTTGTTTCGCGTCACCAACACCCAGCATTTGACCAATGTGAAGGAGAAGTTCGTCCGCATTTGTAAGCCCCCACACGCTTGTTTCAAAATCATCCAGAAACCAACTCTCTCTTGTACTTTTGAAGTACCAAAATGCGTTGTTGCATTCTACTTTTCAACTCCATAAATAGTAATTGTTATTTAGACGAAATAGGTGTGAGCTTCTTGAGATTTTTTTTTTTTACCACTATTTCAATCAGTACGACTGGCTATTCATTTATCATTACATACCACAATTTGTTCTTCACCCACAACTATGCACAACAAGATCACATAAAAAGTTCTATGTCGCAGAGCGAAATAGTACCAAAATCAAAGCTCAGTAATGCCCGCAAAGAAAGCATAGGAGGGTGAGTAAAATTATGAAACCACAAATTAATAACAATGTTAAAACTTGTTATTAAATAATCAACGCCAGCCTCTTTAATTCTTCACCTACAACGACGGTTCCATTGCAGTGATAAACGCTGTCCTCTTACACCCACCAAAGCGCAGGCCTAGCATCTTCACAGAATTTCACATGGTCCAACGTATCGCCAGCTAATTTGCAAAATTTGACTGGTCCCGAAGCCTTATCTTGA